GACCTCCCCAATCCCCTCCCCTAGCCCCGCCTCTTCCCGATCGGGGACCCCAGCCCCACTGCCTGCAGCGCACCCCACTGCGCCCCACGAGTCCCATTTTTGCTTGCCTAGAGCAAATTTGCCCAAGCGCTGACTTTTTAGGAATTCCCTTCGTCCCCTCGCAGAGACCTTCTGCGGCTCCCCCGCCCCTTGTCCCGCCGCCCAGACGTGGCATCCTTGCGGGGTGGGCTGTATAAAGGACCCGAGGCAGCGCGGGCCAAGATTGGAGACGTGGCGCGTCGGCTCAGCCAGCCCAGGCTCCAGGTACGTCCGCGTCCGTGACTGGAACACACGTGGGAAAGAGGGTGGGCAGGGTGATTCTGTTCTTCTGTGACATCCTTATTCGTGCTGGGCAGAAAAGTCCTTAGAGAAGATTGAGAGAGTCGCCTCGGGTTCTTGGAGGAGAGATTGGCCCCGTGCGGCCCGCAGATTTGAGTTCAGGCCGACTTCTGAAGGGTTGTATCAGGAATAGGAACAAATCTGAAGGAGGACAAGAGGTCCCCACGTAGCCACGCTGGACATTAGGAGAGGGACCCTTTGTGGGCAAAGGTCGGGTGGGGGGTTGGGAGGGTAAGGTTTTCTAGTTCCACTTTTATGAGGATCTTTGGGCCCTGCGGAGTGAACACTGGGGCAGAAAGTTTAGAATTAGAAAATAAAGTGCTTTTGAAGAGTCTTGTAGTTTTGGGGGGCCTTTCTGAGGAGATAAGCCTGGTGGGGATTTAAATAACAAAGGAGGCCAATGGTAAAGTTACAGGGTAAAGGGAGCCAGACTAGCCCTAACTAGCCAGTGACCCTGTCTATCTGGATAGGGTGGGGGCCAGCATCACTGAGCTGTTTTTCGGGAAGCCCATGAGTGACCCTCTTAGCTGCAGACATTAAGGATGTCCCCATGAGCCCATTCGCACCCTGGCATCTGGAGGCTGGCAGGTTGCTGGTGGGCCTGGGGCTGGAGACTGTCCACAGCATCTGTAAAGGGTTCCATTGTGCTAATCCATAATGGGGACCCTGGTAATAGGTGGAATGTGTCACAGCTCATCTAGGACCACATATACTCAAAAGGAAAGCAATAAAAACACAAATTGCCTGAATTTGTCTTTTTCTGTCATTCTTTCATTTGTCATCAAATGAAAGAATTAAGTGAAACTCTTTCAAAGTCATCCATGAGAGCCCGTGCCATACCCGAATGCACGGTATCTGAAACTGTGGAGTGGTGGGGTGGATACCGGATGCCGTTCTCAGAGTTCCTTTAAGACCAGAAGAGATGTTCTCTCAGAGTTCCTTTAAGACCAGAAGAGATGTTCTTATCTAGGTGGCCTCATGGGAAGCAATCCTCAGTTCTCACTGGGGCTTGAATGATAAAGTTAACACACTGGTTTCTAGGCCTCTCCCAGCTGCTTGCTTCAGAGGGAGCTGGGAACTGGCTGCATTTCCTACATCCCCCCCTCCGTTGCCTACGTGGCATGCTGGCACCCTGAGGACCTCCCAGGAAGAAGGAAGCTGGCCAAGGTTTGGCAGGGGAGGACTCCGCCTTACACTTGAACCCTATGGCCCTCAGATATGCCAGCCTACTCAGGGTGAAAGAAGACAGAAATTAGGACTCAAATGTAGGGAGCTGATTCCTGTCCTGGCCTCAATGTTACTGTTAAAAGCAGTTAACATTTTTAAAAAAGGAATTACAAAAAGAAAAATGTGAGTGTGCCATGCCTGTGTATGGAGCAGAAGGATGGGAGTTCAAAGTCAGCATGGTGCTGCCTAGGGAGGCCCACACTCACATAAACACAAACCACAGCCTATCTGGAAAAACTCAGCATCAAAAGGGAAAGTCCCTGTACCATGATGCAGGAGGCGGATCACATAACCTTTAACTCTCCAAATTATGTGATTTTTGTGTGTATCTAAGGAGGGAAGTGAGGTTCGGTTTTACTGTTTATAGGCAACAAGATACTGCCGCTAAAATGCATGTATTAGTGCTAATGAGTTTCAAATTACTGAAGTGATTACTTGGGTTCAAGTGAAATGGTGCTACATTTATGCCATTGACATAAGGAAACTTCCTAAATTCTTCTGAGCTAGTGTCTTCATGTGCAGTTTATCCTAGTCCAGCAAGGGCGTCACTTCTGAGCAGGAAAGGATAAAGTGTCTGTTAAACATTGTAACCTAAGGCTAGGCACTTACTAGGCACTCTGAAAATAAAAATGATTTTAAAATATCTACAAATATTTTCTTTCCCTAATGAAATTTATTTTCTCTTTAAAAAGGCTTTCTCTCTAAAGAGCTACCTACACCATCACATTATAAAACTAAATAGGATTATTCTTTACCAAAACTTTTAGTTCTTCAAAATGAAAATTGCTCTCCCCAAACTGCTTCAGGTGAGCTGTGTACGTATACAAGTACAAAAATGAGAAAAGCTACGAAACCCTTGGTGAAAATGATGAATTCTGGGGCGCTGATTCATGTGACTTGAAAAACGCCATCCATTTCCTGACTCACCTCAGTTTCTATTCAGAAGTATGAAGCATCATGTGTCTGTGACCTAGTTTGCTCATCTGCCTTGTCTTTATATCCTTTCTTAGAGCTTGGTCTCAGCTCCTAGAGGAGAGGAGCAGGGAAGGGCTGAAGAGAACACAGCCTGGAGCCATGAAGATGCAGCTGTGGACCATACAGAGATGCAGCCATGGACCATACATGACCTTCCGGAGAAGCCTCATAACTGTGATGAGATGCATTAAGATGTGTTGAGAATGCATTTAAAAATTACATATATATGCACAGAGATATAAGTGCTGGCTAGTTTTTGTCAACCTGACACAAACCTGAATCACTTGGGAATGGGGAAGCTCCACAAGTAATTTCCTCCACCAGCTAATTGATGTGGGGGGCCCAGCCCCCTATGGGCGGTACCATCCCTATGCAAGTAGGCCTGGGCTGTTAAAAAAACAAAGGTAGCTGAGCAAGCCAAGGGAAGGAAGCCAGTAAGCAGCATTCTTCCATGGTCTCTACTTCAGTTCCTGCCTCCAGGTTCCAGCCATAAGTTCCCATCTTGGCTTCCATAGATGTTAGGCTGTAACCTGGAAGTGTAAATAAATAAACCCTTTCCTCCCCAAATTGGTTTTGGTCAGTGTCTTATCACAGCAACAGAAAGCAAACTAAAACACACACACAGACACACACACACAGATACAGACACACAGATAGACACAGACACACACACATACACAGAGATAGACACAGACACACACACATCCACACATACCAGCCCAGAAGTTGTCCTCTTTACGTCATAACTACATTTTTCTTTAAATGAGCCAGGCAAACATTACATTCACCACCCATCAGCTTCTTTTTTCTGTCCTGTTTTCCTTTCCGACCCATGGCATTTAAGGCTGACAAAACTCCAAGGTTATCTGATCCATACATTGTTTTCTTGAACGTAGAAAACATTGGTACGAAGAGGTGAGGTTGATGTCACGATAGCATGGTGCAGAGCTGCTCATTGCTCCTGCACTTTATAGTGTTGGGAAGACCCACAGTTGTGGGTACAGGAGACAGTGATACCCGTGGATGTTTCACAGATGAACGCTTTTGAAGTTGGGAGGTTTGGGAGAACATTCAGCACCTAGTCTCTTGGGCATCCCCAAAGCCCAATTTTGTGTTCCTTTACCCCAAGAAACCTCCCTACCCTTTACTGTAGAGCCCGTTTCCTGAGTGACGTTAAGGAGACCAGATTTATTTTAAATATTTTATTTTATTATTTTTATTTTATGTGTATGAGTGTATTGCCTGCATGTGTGTGAGTGCACCCGTGTCGTGCAATACCACGGAGGTCAGAAGAGGGCATCAGACTCCCCTGGAGCTGGAGTTAAGGATGGTTTGTAGCTGCCATGTGGGTGCTGGGAATCAGACCCAGGTCCTCTGCAAGAGCAGTCAGTGCTCTTAACTGCTGAGCCATCTCTCCAGCCCCCATATTTATTTTAAAGAGAGAAGCCCATGCACTTAGAAATAGTCCGCACACATACTAGAAGGAGCATAGATCAATGCGATTTGAAGCACAGGTCCCTGGTCCTTAAAGGTCCAGGTTGTTCCACTCTGCCAGGCTGTGTAAGGGAGTCTCCATCATCTACCATCTCTGTAATCTGATTTCTACCCAGCCCATCCAGGGTCTTTATTGCTTCCCAGGCCTGACCAGAGAGATGTGCCAATAGACATTGCCCTAGCTTTGCACTCTTCTCTGGTGAGTTCTTACCTGTGACCTCTCCAATTCATTCCATGATGAGAGCAACAGTCTTTGACCTCATACAGCTGTTCGGTGGAGCAGCCTGGTTAAGTCCACAGATCACAGCAGTATATAATTAAGGTAGCATACCAGGACATATACTCAGCAAAACATGCTTGCTTTCTGCAATGGGGTTGGGGTCATTTCCAATAGTTTTTCTTAGATGCGCTCCATGATTCTTCAGGCTTTCAGTAAGAGAGCACATTTACTACAGTTACAGTTGCAGAAATCCAAAGTATTGTAGAAATCTACAAGTATTTTGTCTCCTCTTTTTTTCAGTTAGATTTCTAGGTTTTTGGCAACCCAATTTCCTTTAAAATAAAGCTGGTGCCCTAAAAACAGTTCAAGTTGTCTTTTAGAAACATGGTCTGTGAAGAAGAAAAGTGCTAAGTTTAAAAGATTTGGGGAGTGTCTATAGGGAAGGCAGATGGTTTGGGACATAAAGAGAAAGCATCCGTATGGTTTCCTTAGACTTCTTACATTGAGACTCGTGTTTCTGAGTGTTTCTAAGCAAAGATTTTCAGTGTATTAATCGATGTCCATATCCCTCTGCCTTTGAAAACCAGAAGTGTAAGGGGAATACATACTTTGGGAATTATGTTTTTCAAAATATATTTAACTGTAGGAGCACAAATTGCTCTGCCTCAGATTATTTCAACATTTACTAACTAAATTTAGCACAATGACCTTGAATGCCATGGAAGGGATGTTTGTAGAGTTAAACCAGAGGGAACATGTCCTCTGAAGCAGAGCGACAGGAAAACTCTCAGGGTCTTCGCAGCCCCTCTGCCAAAATTTGCTCCAGACCCTCCTTTCCACTGTGATTACCACGTTAATTCAGCCTGTCAGCTTCTCTCACCCCAAATACCAGCACCTCATCTAATTCTGTCACCAATCATTACTCCTCAGACAGCACCCCCCAACAAGCATCATCTTTAATGACACAGACCTGATTTTATTTGAATTGCAAAATACCTGGCTTTGAAACAAAAACAAAAACTTTCTTGTAGCTACTTGAGGACATGGAATGCAGTTAGGAATGACAATGAGGGGATGTGACATGGTGGGGTTCTGTGGAAGCGCTAACTCCAGGCCAGAGTCCTTTGTGCCTCTCTCTCCTACCTCTAGCTTGTGCTCAGCACTTGATTCCGATAGTTGAAATTCCAGACACTTAGACTATAAGGTACAAGATGTTCCTTGAGGATATGAGCCAGGATCCAAGGATAACAGTGAAAAAGAATCCTAAATCCTGATGACTCCCAGAGCTCTGTGATTATCAACCTTGTTGTCCAAATGCTTGTATTGAGAGGAGGCTTTTTTTCACCACCGGGAGGAACTGAAACCAACAGCAAAATAAGTGCTTTCTCCTTTAAATTGTCTCTTTCAGAGTTTGGTCACAATGATAATAAAAAAGGAAGAAAGGAAGGGAGGGAAGGAGGGAGGGAAAGCTAACCCCTGAATTACCTAAACCAGACTCCACTGGGTGAAAATGAAGTTACTTCCTCTTATGCTTCATCCGTCTGATCTGTACTTACTAATGGAGGGTACCAGTAAGCTTCCACCTCCCTGCAGCATCATCCCTCATCATGAGACCCCTTTCCTTTCTCCCACATGCTTTTCTGACTTCAAACAATTTCCTTGCACACCATTGTAGACACATGGCTCACATTAGGAATAGAAGGAAGATCTGTAACAGAGCCACTCTCCTGCCCTGTTTGGAATTATGGTGTATGTACCTAATGGTAGACTAATGCCAACAAGTGGCTGCCTGTGGTAGATCCCAGACCTACACAATTATAGCCCCAGGTAAGTGCAATGGTTAGTCCGGGGATACAAGCGTCATCACTGAAAAAGTGACATTTAAGCAGACACTTAAAGGACAATGAAACGAGGGCAGTAAGAAGGGCGAACTTGTAACTCCAGACTTTAATTCAAACATGCCTGTGAAAATATCAAGGTCAGTAACAGTAACTGCAGAAGAATAAGAACAGATACTCTCACAGATACAGTCACAAAATAGCCTAATCTTACTGGCATACAAATCACTAATCCCACCCACAAGGTCAGAGTCCTCAGGGCCTAAATGTCTCCCTGTGGCCCTGCCTCTTAATATTGATGCATTGAAGATTTAAGTTTTCAACATAACACAGATGTTGAAACTATAGCTTTCTACCCCAGGTCCAACAAACTTCATACTTCTCGCATACAAAATGCGTTTATTCCATCCAATGGCCACCCAACCTTAGCTTGTCCTAGTATCAACGTTAAAGTCTAAGACAAGAGTCTCAGTTAAATAACATCTCTATCAGGTGCAAGTGAGACTCGAAGATGGGGTTCATCTTGAAGCAAATCCTCCCTCTGGCTCTGAGCCTATGAAATTAAAACAGTAGCTCCAAAATGTAATCGTGTGACTGGTGTAGGATAAACATTCCCATTCCAAGGAAGAGAATAAGCAGGAAGAAGGGGTAATGGGCCCACATAAGCCCAACTTCCTCCCCCCCCCCGCCCCCAGAGGATGGCAAGATCAGATCCTGTAAGGAGGGTTTTTGACCATGTCCCTTCCATACACACAGGACAGTGGTTCTGTCCTGGAGGCTCCAGCCTGCACTGCCTCCATTATTTAGCAGGGCACAGCCCACACTACCATACTGTGGTTGCAGGGCAGTGCCTGCCCCTCTCCTAGGCTGGCTTCCATTGTAGTGACTGTTCTGATCTGGGGGCCCTGCCCAGTGCCCCAGTGGAGCTGCAGCAGGCCTCCCTGTGACTCCTCGCTGGCGGGCCCAGGTGTCTTTTGAAGTCTAGTTTGAGATTCCCAGCTCCCCACTGCTAACGCACTCTTTGTATCTGCTGAGTTGACAACGAGAGAACTGCCAAGACGCATCACTTGTCCCATCCAGAAGGACAGCCAAGTCACACGGAATCCACTCGTGCTGCTGTTGGGGCAGCTGGAGACCACACAGCTCAGACGGTGTGCCCCGGGCCTCTCCTTTGACATCACTCAGATTCTAAAGTGCTGAGTCGGGGAGGGGAAGGGCAGCTGGGGAAACCTCCCAGACGCCTGTGCAGTCATTCACATCTGCCTTTTAAGATTTGTATTTTTAATTAAGTTTTTGATTAGCATACACATTAATGGGTTTCCCGGTGACACTTTCACACAGATGTGTTGTACAGTTCTTATTTGCCCCTCCCCCTGCCCCCACCTCATCCTCTCTTGTTTCCCTTCCTCCACCCAAAGAGTCTCCTCTCCTGCTCTAAAGTCATAAATATTCCATTACCTGCTCTTGGGCCCCTTTTAGAACTCTTCTTCCCTTATCATAGTCATTTTTGACTTTCATGTCCTACACACGTGCATGCACACACACACACACACACACACAAACACACACACACACACCACATCCAGATTGGGCATGTGAGAGAAAATCGACTGTAATAGTCTATCCTAGTCTGGTTTAGTTCACTTAACATAATGATCTTCATTTCCATCCATTTACCTGAGAATATCTTCACAAACAGCATCAGGCTTCTTCCCTTTAGTACTGACCCCCAACCAACATTTCCTAGGTCTCCCACTTGCCAGTCTCTCTCAATTATGTCTTCTCTTTCCTTAAAACCTAACCACCCCAAGCAAATTGAAAATCTTTACGT